GGCGAGGCGGCGGCGGCGGCGGCGGCGGCGAGAACGGCGGCACCGAGTTTGTCTCGGTGAGCGGAGCGGCGGCGGGAGGAGGAGCAGCGCGGCGCTCTCGCTGTTTGAGCGATGTTTTGAGCCTGGGATCCCATGCCACTGCGACCGGCGTGCCCGGGAGCAGAGATCGCGCGCGCGCCGCATTCACGACGCGCGCGCGATCTTCGCGGAGTCGGGTCCCCAGAGGGAAGCGGACTTTTCGGCCGACGTCCAGCGGCGCGCAAGGAAGCAGGCGCAGCGCCGGCGGTGTCGCGCTGCATGGGCCGGCAGGGTGCAGTGGCGAGGGGCGGCGGGCTCGGACGTCCACCGAGTCGCTCCGCGCGGCAGGCGGAGCGCGCGCGCGGGCCAGGAGGCTCTCGGCAGGCTGCAAAGGACATCTGCACTTATTGCGTGGCGGGCGGGCGGGACTCCACTTCGTATTCGGCAAATTCGAGGTTATTCTTTTATGAGCCGCCCAGGCCCGCTTCGCCCTCCGAATAGCGGGGAAGGGTGAATCCGACCGCCCGGAATGCTCCTGCCAGCCTCCGCCCCGCTGCCGCAGCCGACGACTGCCAGCAGCTTCTCCCTCATATCGCTCAACGTTCTTCTCCCAAACAGCCATGACGGCTGGTGGATCTACAAGTACTATCCGCCATCAGTGGCCGCGGCAGAGACGACGTGGAGTGCTCGCAGCCGCCTGCTGGAGGAGCTGCTGCTAATCGCCGATGCCGACATCATCTGCCTGCAGGAGTGCTGCGCTGCGTCGTTCGAGTCCGACTTCTCATTCCTGCAGCGCGCCGGGTATGCAGCCTCGCTGCTTGGAAAGGGCCGGATGCGGCCGGCGACGCTGTGGAAGACGTCTCGTTTCGCGCTCTGCGACGCGGCGGGCGCCCCGGCGCCGCCTCCGCCCGAGACGCCGCCGCATGAGACAACGACAGACGCGGAGGGTCCGGCAGCGGCAGGCCATGATGGCGGCGGCGCGGCGGACGCGGAAGAATGCGAGTGGGCCGCTCTTCCTGCCACTCGGGGCGCGGCCGTGACGCAGGGAGATCGGACGCTCATCACCACGCTGCATCTCATCGGCGAGGACGGCTCGCCCCGCGGCACGCCTCCGCTCTTTGTCGTCAACTGCCACCTCACGGCAGGGCAAGAGGCGCGCCGCCGACTCTCGCAGGTGCACGACGCGCTCGACCGGGTCCGCAAGCAGCGGGCGAAGGCGCTCCCAAAGGGGCACGACCCGAGAGCGCCGTGCGTCGTGTGCGGCGACTTCAACTCGCAGGGCTCCACCGCCGTGCGCGAGCTGCTGCTGCGCGGCGAGGTCCTGCCCTCCTTTCGCGAGAGCGGCGACCCGACCGAGCGCGACCAGGCGGGCACCGCGCTCACCTCCAAGCCGAAGCGGCAGGGGGTGGGCGCCTTCACAGACGTGTACGAGCGCGTGGAGGGCGGCTGCGGGCCGACG